GGAGCAGTGGAGGGGGTAGGAGCGGGGAAGGGGGGAGAAGCAGCGGAGGGGGTAGGAGCCGCGGTGGAGGGGAAGGGAGGAGTAGCGAAGGGGGAGGAGTAGAGGAGTGGTGGACTCGGGAGGAGCGGGGTTGGGGGGAGGAGCGGCGGAGGGGGGAGGAACAGCGGAAGGGGTTGATGTGGCTAAGTGGTTAGAGCACCGGTTGGAAATGCGCATTGTGGTATAAGGTTGCGGGTTCAAATCCGCAGCCTTGCGCATGGACACTGGCAGGGCGTTAGGATGACGCACGGCTGGACACACACTTCCTTGGGCTGACGCATGGTACTATTACAAACACTGCCTGCGCACCACCCAAGGATTGTTCATGGTGTTGTATGTTGGTTCTGGGTTTCACATGAGTTGCTTGGGGGTGGTGATCTTGGGTGTTCTGTTGATCTCCCCAGTCTGGCAAATTACACGTTTGGGCCATTTCCATTGGTCGTTCACATGGTACAGTCTTTCGATTATATGTTACAAGGTCACGGGTTCGAGCTTGGTTCGGACCTTGGGGGGGTCCCTGTCCAGCTTACCCCGTTCTCCCTCTTCGATATACAGAGTATACATAGCCTTCGGACATAACATAGAATTATACATTGCCTATGGGCTATATATACACACACATAGCCCATATACAAACGTTTCCATACATGATACACACATAGCCTTCAGACATAACATAGAACTATACATTGCCTACGGGCTACATACACACACATATACATAGCCTTCGGACATAACATAGAAATATACAGCGCCTATGGGCTACATACACAAGGCTGGGGGGGGCTAGTCACTGGATACGAGTCTACTATCTGCAGTAGGTTCGGGTTGGTTGGATAGGGTGCCATTGGGTGCAGTTCCTGCTGATATCCGAATAGAACTATCTGGTGGCCATATATTGGGACCTGTGGTACATTGTTCGGGCCTGGCGTCCAAAGTTCCCACTCGACAAAGTTCGTCCGATTCCGCTTCCACCAGGGCTGGGTAGCTTACCAGCCCTGGTGCCTATCACTGCTGTTCGGTCCAAGTTGCCTACCCAATGGTAGGGCAATGGTCCTGAGTGCTGGTCACACTGAGGTAGGATAGTGGGATAGGGGGTGCGTTAGGAGTATTGACGTGAGGATGGGATGGGAGGTGGTCTCATATTCCTGGACACCCGTGGCTTACATCTCCAAGTGATCACTGTGCACTCAGT